CTAAATAATTTCAATGTGGACTATATTTTAACATTTAGCTACATATAAGAAATACTTCTGCACCAAAAGTAAATTCCTCGGCTGCAATGAATACAGCGGGGGCCTGGTTAGGGGAAGAGCAGTGAAACGTCACAACCTCTGAGACTCCTGATGCACTGCTTCAGAGATACACAGGGGGCAAAATGCTAAAAATTGAAGTAAAATAGAATTTCTATCTTACATAGTACAAAATAATATAAGACAAGATTAAACTTTTTTTAAAAATTCAGGTCCAATGTATGAATTTTGCTTCAGAAATTGTTTATGTAATGGTTGGCTAATGTAAGCGGGGCTAGTTGGGTGGGGCTCCTGGGAAAGCTGTTTTAAGAGGACAGGTTGGGGAGAACTGTCCTTCTACCTTTTCCCCTTTGTCCTTCCTTCCTTCTGCACGCTTCTCAGAAGGCAGATCCTAGCCAGAGCTGGAGTCAAGGTGCAGCTGAGAAGAGAAGACTAAGGAAAGTACCACGATCGTAGTCTGTACACAGCAGAGTTGCCAGGGACTAGCTGGAAATATCCCTGCCTCAGGCTTCTCTGTGTGATTAAAATAACCTATGACAGAAGCTCCCAAACGCTCTCAGTTCATGCCATGCATAGCCTCTCAGGTAATTTTGTTCATGACGCCCCTAGTCCAAAAGAAACACCTAACAGTTATGTTTACTAACAAGATAGGTGTCAATGTGTAATGGCATTTATGTACTACCAACATATTAACTACTTTAAAAAGCAATACACATAAACTGAAAAAAATAATATAGTTATTTAATTTTAAATAACCACAATTACTAGTGAAATGGGTGCTCCAGTTGTGCATTCCACTTTTTCTCACACCTTGAAATAAGACTGGATATCACCACCCTCTCTTCCTATTCACACTGATTTTCACTTAGTACTTGCTTTCTTCAATTGTGACAAAATATACATAACATAAAATTTACAGTCCTGGGACACTAAGAACATTCACATTGCTGTACAACTGTCACGTTACCCATCTGCAGAACTTTCTCATCTTCCCCCACTGAAAACCCATACCCATTAAACGCTAACTCATTTCCTCTTCCCCCAAATCTCTCCCCACCATTCTTTCCGTTTCTATAAATCTGACTATTCTGAGAACTTCATAGAAGAGTAATACAATACTTGTCCTTTTTGGACTAGTATATGTCATTCAGTGTAATTTATTCCAAGTTCATCTGTGTTGTACCACAGATGAAATTTCCTTTGTAAGGCTAAACCATTATATAGACACAGATATAGGCCATTTTTTAATCCACTCATCCAATGAAAGACAAGTATTTCTACCTTTTGGCTACTGGGAATAACACTGCCATGAACTTGGGTATAGAAAATATTTGTTTTTATAAAAACACAACTACTGAAAATGTAGCTTTGCAAATCTAAAGGAAGATGATGCAATTTACTACTGAAACTGTCAACCTCCTCAAGCTAGTAGTTTGCCTGGTGTTTAAGGGATGTCACATGTAGCTGTGCTTAAAATTTTAAATGCCCTAAGATTCCCTGAGTTTGCCGTGGCACCCTGGTGATCTTGATGCTCCGTCTGGGAGGCGCACCATTTGATGTGAAAGCCGCTGTCACTCCCATTTCCAATTGAGCAGAACTCAATCCTTAAGTTATGCAAACCTGACCATCAAATGTAAACTTTCCACAAGGCTCTCACTAGAGATGCTTGCCAATGTGACAATCCTTAATTTAAATTCTCTGTTCACAGCTCCACTATGTTCTTCAGAGTTACTATAATCACTCTCCAGGCTCCATAAAGGCACTTTCCTATCCATCGTGTAAATTAGACATTTTCCTTAAACAATTATACTTCACTATAATGGTTAAATTTTCACTTGAACTTCATTGGGCTACATGTTGCTCAAATACTTGGTCAAAAATTATTCTGAGTGTTTCCACTGTGGTGGTTTTGAATGAGGTTAACATTTAAATTGACAGACTAAATAAAGCAGATTGCTCTACGTAATGTGGATGCTTTTCATCCAATCAGCTGAAGGACTGAAGAGCATAAAAGGCTGACTCTTGCCCTGAGTAGGGCAGAATGCTTTCCTGCCTGATTGCCTTTGAACAAGGACATCAGCTTTTTCCTTGCCTTTGGAGTCAGACTGAAACACTGGCTCTTCCTGAGTCTTGAGCTTTTCTACTTTCAAAACAAAGACCACACCATCAGCTCTCTTGGTTCTCAAGCCCTTCAGACTCAACCATCCACTCTCTTGGGGTTCCAGCTTACCCACTCCTGAAGACTTGGAGATTTAACAGCCTCCATAATCTTATGACCAATTCATACATATATATCTACATACAGACACACAGACACATACATACAAACATACACAGACATCCTGTTACTTCTACTTTTCTGGGGAACCCTAAATAATATTCCCAGAGTCACATGTTCTGCCAACATCCTCGTACAGATACAGACTCCTTGGTGTATCACTCATAACTCTTCACCTACTCTCTGCTTATTCCTCTCCAGCTTCATCTCAAGCAGTCACTGCGCCCTCAACCTATGTAAAGCACATAGAAATTCATAATATACCCCATGAACCCTCCCCATGAAACTTTTGAGTGTGCTTTTCTCCCAACCCAGAACAACCTTCCTACCCTAAACAACCCCTTCATGCACACATGATCCATGCACGTGCACACACTAATAAACACGCAGGACAGACATTGTGCAACTGCAAGGCTGCCTTCTCACTATTCAGGTTTCTTCCTTGATACCTTCCTGTCCTCTCAGATCCACCTATCAAGCACAGGCAGAAATTCCTTTCTACAGTTGCCATAGTACTCATAGCGTACCCTATCAGAGCCTTTATTATGCTTTAACTGCCCATGTATTTGTCTAAATTTCCCAACACCTTGAAAGCAAGGACTATGTTTTTATTTTGGCCATTGTGTTTCCAGAATGATGGCTCACTGATCATATAGGCTCAGTAACTTTTTGTTGAGTAAATGATCAGATGAAGTTCACACAGTCCTAAACCATCGGTTATTGGCATAATTTAGGAATTGTCAACCAAAATCTGAAAAGGACACGTTCAACCATTTCTGGCATCATCTGGACCACTGATGGTATCCACGCTGTAGAGCCAAGGGGGATAATAGCAATGTCTTTAATTCCTTAACTGTGTGCGTGCATGCCCCAACCATACTGATCCAGAATCCACACTGTAAACAAACAAGCTGAAGGAGAAAGCCACAGAAAATAGAATCAGGAAGCAGCACTGTTTTTACATGCATTCCGAAGTGTACTGACCCTGAGAATTAACTATCCCCTGAGTACCTTGAAGCATTTTTTAACCATTATCATAATTATACTCACTGCTGGTCACCATCAAAGTAACTCCTTACTGCCTGGAGTTTCTAAAGTTACTTATTCTTTCTAGATTTTTAGTTCCCTTATCAGTGCAATCAACCATAGCATACAATTTGGGGCTATTGTGAGGAATAACTGAGACTATGCATTGGAAAGCACTCAGCACGTTACCTGACACATACTAAGTTGATATAATAAATGCAAGTTATTATTACCACTATTACTGTCATCAGACTTGCAAACACAAATAACTATAAAAGCAAGGAACAGTTCACTGGTCAAGCATGAACTGAAAGATTTTAATGGGCCCCTGCCCCTGAAAAACTGAACACTGGGGTTTGATACTAAGGAGCATAGCTTGACATGTCATGAACACATAAGCCTAACAATGACAGAGCTATTTTAGAGATAGCCCCCAAGGAAACTTTTTCCTAAACTAAACATCAGTACCTCTAGGAAGTAAAGCAACTCAAAACACAAAACCTAGACCAAATATAAATAAAAAAGAAAAGAAGGAAAACTTAAAAGCTATATCAATGCTTACTGTTTCATTGTTTTTTTTTAATATCCCCATTTGTACCAGCTCCTCCATATACAAAACTACTCAGACACTATGACAAACAACTAATGGTGCACTTGTCTGCTATCAGTATTGACCTTAGTTAACCAAGTGAGTGATTATTAGGAAGGCTGCTAGCTAATACTGTTTGATAGCATAAGCACTTTTAATGTAAACATTAAAGACTAAACCTAACATACCTTAAGGAGTATACAATTGTGCTATTTTGCATAACAAAGCTATATTATATTTTATATTATATATATGCTTTCTACTTCTAGCCTAAATACACATACCATCTGCAATATAACTTCATTAAGTCTATATCAGTTTCTAAAGAATATCAAATAATTTGCCTTTCCCCAGCAATTATGCTTCAATTTAAAATATATGATCGTGCAAAAATGGAGTTAGAAAAGCACATTCTGCATTTCAACTTAATTAGGTTTTCTAGTTCTTCACAAATGTAAAACACCCTTTTTCATTATTCTCTTCCAGCTTTCATTCTCGTTACTAGCTATACTGTAAAAATTATAGGGTTTGCTCATAAAATAATTTTTCTTATCATTTATAAGTACCAATTCTTCATTATATTACTTATTAAAATTCCTCACTTTATCCTTTTCCTTCCATTCATCACCTTTCTTCTGGCATTTCTACCATGAGCATAAAGGGCCATCCCAGTTAACTCTCTCATCCATGACCCCCAGCAGAGCTCCACGTACCCAGAGGGCAAGATTTCTCTGCGGCACGATCCTTTTATAGCAGGATCACCACCTGTTCCATTTTCCTACTTCTGATCGTCCTTTTTTACCTTTACTGTGTTTCACAGTGCAATGAGGTGTCCCACACCTGTGCCCAGCATTCTCACACACACACACACACACACACACACACACACAAAACCACCTTACTCATCAAGCTACGTATTGTTATGAGACCATGAAGTTTCACCCTGACATTAAATTACATGTTTTTCTGTGGAATTTACTGGCAGGGAAAGGACTAGGGGGAGGAAAAAATAGTTTCCACCTTTAAAAGATCCCAAAAAGTCAATCCTACCTTTCCCAGGATTTGGAGGAAAAAGGCTTCCAAACTCTTGATGCTTTGGCTTTAAAGTGTGTGTCCCTGACATGCCTCCAGGCTGGGTGACCTGGAATCTCGGCTTCTCACTGGTGAGCACTTGTCTCCTGGGGATCAGAGCGGGCAGATGGATGGGGCTCTCAGCCATATTGTGCTGAAGAGACAACCCTCCTCCCAAGGGCATCTTGCGATGCAGGCTGTTAGAAAGGCTTCCAATAGCAGGGCTGGGTGTGTTGTCACAAGACGAGGGGCCAGGAGTCCCTGAGTGGGTTCGGATGGGAGGAATATGTTGGCCACTGACCATCCTATGCCCCTGTGGGGTTCCCGACGTATGGTGAAGACTCATGCTGCGTGACCTTCCATTCATCCTGAAAAACCTGTGGCCAAGATGGTCAAATATCCAATGGCACTAATGACTCCTTTTCATGCAAAGTCCAATAAGTTATCCATGGTGTGGGTTATAAGCCTGTTTAAAAAAATAAATGCAGGCAATTTTTAAAAGTAAAACTGAAAATAAAGTACAGAGTTTTTAACTTTGTAGCATTCATATCAGGAAGAACAGAAGCACCCTTAGCAAAATGGCCTTTTATGCAGAACAAGGTCATAAAATACATGGCTCATTGGCAGGCACTCTCCCCTTCTACATTCACAGGAGACATGGATTATGGGTTGCTGTATTGTTTTGTTTGCCCCTGAGCCCTTCTCAATAGTGTGCTCTTGGCAACTACAATGAATCTAGTGGTGCCAGTTTGCAAAATTAAACTTATTTTGATCTGTCCACACTAGCTCACTTTTTTTGTAGTGGGTCCTGAGAAACAAAAAGACACTATCTTTATGAGCCATGAGACCAATGCTTCAAAGGCCCCAGTGGAAAATCACAAAACAGACACAACCTCTAGATGGGACGATGGGGGCGTTATACCATCCCTCACCTTCTCTGTAACACAAAATGTTTCATAGCCCCTAGATTTACAAAAGATAAAAGCCTAAGCCTGGGAAAAGTCACAAAGATTTTATGTATGCTTATAGTTAAAAATTCACAGGCATATTAGAGTCTTAGTTCCACATGACAGAAAGCACGAAGACAGAACATCCCTCCTAAAGTGAGTTCTCTGGTAGGTTCACCATGCACTATACTGCACAGTCTCACGAAACTCCTATGGGAGAACCAAAAGAAGCACAGACGGGACCACAGGACACCATTATCCACCATACGTGATGCAGTCAGTACTCTTGATTCTAAAGCACTAAGGAAGACCCTTCCCTCCTCCGAGCAGCTGCCCCCCAAAGTGTAATGCCATGAGCAGCCAAGAGCCACGGTAGTGCCACTTCTCCAAAAGTATGACAGGCCCCATTCATAGTCTGCCTTGCATACAAGCATGACAGCCATGGAGAGAAGCCAAGCTACACACAGGAAATAAGGACTGAATCGCTTCTCGGCCTTTCGGCTAAAATCAAGTGTAGGAAATAAGGACTGAGCGCAAGAGAGTAGTGTTCAGGTATCTTCAAGTACACAGTTTTCACTTTTTCTTTATGATCCACTCAAAGTTTCAAGACAAATACTTTCAACTCAACTCCTCAATGACCCTATGAGTCATTAAAGAAAGGATATCAAAAAAAAAAAAAAAAAAAAAA